TCACGGGCCCAGCCTCAGGGACAGCAAGCAAGTAGGACCTCTGAGCCCCAAGCGCCCTTAGCCCTAGGTTCCCACGCACACCCACGCACCATGCCCTTCCCAACTGCAAAGCTGTCCACAGCCACACTGACTCATAGGTCCCCACCACAGCCCGGGAAGGTGGCTGTCGTCACCCGCCCCTTTGATGGATGCCAAGACTGAGCTCCACACTGCCCAAGGGGCTGGACTCAAAGCCAATCCTCTGATTTCAGGCGAGGAGATGATAATGACGGTGACAATGATGGTGATCACGGTCATGATGGTGACAGGGATGATGATGGCGATGGTGACTAATACTCGGCTCTCACTCTGTGCCCCGGTCCTCAGCACTCAGCAGATGACACTTCATTTAGCCCTTACAGCAACCCCGGGAGAAGGTACCATTATGACTCCTTTTCTCAGACGAGGAGGCCAAGGCCGGAGTGGGGGGGGGGGGGGGGGAAGCTAGGGGTTGAATGGGTCATTACCGCCTGAGTTCCCGCAGGGCTGACGCTGCGGGACTTGGGGTGCTTGGGGGAAGGGGAGGATGTGAGGAAGGAGCTCAGTAGCCAGACCACTGACCTTGACGGGCTCTGTCTTCCCTTGTCTTCCTGGCCACACACACACACACACACACACACGGAGAGGGGGGGCGGTGGGGGGAGGGGAGGGGGCTTGCCTCTTGCTGTTTAACCCCTGGGGCTCTAGACCCTGGCTGTGGGGCTAGGAAGGGGACCCTCAGAGCTGGCTCTGCCCCTCAGCTCTCCCACCCCCGAGGTGCTCCGAAGACAGTTCAGGGCAGGAGACCTCGTTCCCCAGGGCAGGAGAGAGGTGCCCACCCCTCCAGAGGTGCCCGGAGACACTACTGAGCTGCTCCCTCACACGGCCAAGGGCGGGACAAATCCGGACTCAAACCTGCAGGTCTGGCCTCCCGCCCAGGGCTTCCCTGGCCACCCCGCTTCAGGGCCAGGTCTCAGAGAGGCCCCCCTCTCTCCTCTCCTGCCCCTCAGCCTCCTCAGGAGCACTTCACCCGGGGGGCGCCTTTCCATAGCTGTGAGGAGGGGGCTCGCCTGTCCCCCCCACCCCACATCCCGCTGTCCTCTGTCTGGGGCTCAGCAGGCCTCCCCTCTCCCAGTCCTCCCGCCTCTTCCTTCACCCCTCTGGGTTGGAAGGCCCCTTGCCCCAGAGCAGCCCCAACGTCCCCAGGGATGGGCCGGGCAGGAGAGGTAGGTCCCAGCACTAGGGACCAGCATTTTTTTTTCCCTCAAGCCAAAAGCCATGAGCTCAGGACCTGCCTCATTCCTGAGGGATTTCAAGCTAAGGCTGGGGGTGGGAGGGGTGGCCAGGAGGGCTGGGAGAAGGAAGTCCGGGCAGATGACGTCCTGGGGCATCTAGGTGAGAGCTGAAAGCTGTCCCATGACCTTCACTT